AGTTTTTCCGATATACTAATGTGTGCATAATGGGCATTTGAAAACAAGTAGGATGAATAATGAGACTTTGTGTTTCCACAGCAACTTTCCCAAGGACATTTATAACGATATGGAGATTATCCTCAAATCCCTCTATTCAGCTGGGTTAAGAGAAAGAATTATTTCCGTATTTCATGAGGGGAAACCAGAATAAGGACAAGTGTCTCACCTCTGCCAGCTTTACCCAGCTCAGGTACCAAGTCTCACCTTTCAGAGATGAGTGACAGCATCCAACAGACCCATGCTGCTCTGGCCTGAGCTCCCCTGGCCTCTCTTTGGTTCTCTATTGTGTATAGTCCAATGTTCTTGGCTCCTTGTTTGATCTTAAAATCAGTGTTGGGTGAATCAGTCACAAGATTTGGACATTCTGTTCAGAAAATGTTATAAATTCATCAAGATTTGCTGGATCTGCAAGACTATTCTGGCGTTCTTAATAGAACAGCAGTCTTCTGTCCCCAGATGACTTCATGAAATGAGGACTTGTGTGAGAATGTGATAGAGACAGTTTCCCAATTGCCTTGAAATAGACATACCCTGTCACAGTTGCCTGCTGTTACCTATGCTGTCCTCTCTTTTTGGCATGTCTTCCTTCTCTGCCCTATGCAGGGCAGAGAAGGATGCAGCACTCCTATGCATCTTTTAAAACTCAGTTTGATTGTTAGCATCTCCTTCGTCAAGGTTTTGTATGCATTCTCCAGTTATACTTTCTTAACAAAGCCCCAATTTTGTTCAGCCTCCATTCCTCTCCCACCAGGACGTGCACCTGGTCAAGGTCCTGACTTTAGCCCAGTTCCACAGAAGACATAATCAACATCCATATGATCTCATTCCATTTGCCAGAGGTTGTATAAAGAATTTTCTGTGTCCTTGGTCAATTAGACCAGAGAGGAGGCATATGGGGAGCTCTTGGTCCTCTCTGGTAGAATGGGATTTGAGGAAGAAATGGTCAGCCCTCTTCCTCCAAGCATACTGTATGGGCTTGGGGTGGCTGCTATCTTCTCACTTCCAGCATGAGGAAGAAGCAAACACTGATGGTGGCAGAGCAGAGACAAGGATAAAATCCACGTCCTTCATGGCTCTGTAGGGCCATGGAAACAACCAGACCTGAAGTTGGCCTTATTTCTGGATGCTTTATATAAGATATATATGACTTATATAATAAATATCCTTATTGATTGTCAGAAAGTATTTCTGTTTCTTGCAGCTAAAGGCCTTCTAATTTATCCAATGCTTTTCCTGAACTACAGGCCACACATTTAGTCGGAATTGGGTATTCCTTCCTTTGATTGCTATAGAATTGTGCATATACCTCTATTATAGCATCAACACTGGATTTTAATGATCTGCTTCTATGTCTATCTTCCTCACTGTGAAGTCTTCAAGGATCATATTTTATTTAATATTTGATTCACATTTTACTCATTTATTTTTAGAGTTTAGTATTATGGTCAACATGTATCAAGTAATTAATGAATATTTGATGAATGAATGAATGAATTTACTCAGAATATATCAAAGTGAGTGCCATAGGCAGCCTAAGCATAAACAACTTAAATGGTCACTTGAGACCCTAGCACTTAAGACCCTGTTTCCAGAACTGGTTGTGTTTTTTCCATCATCTGTCCATCCATTTATCCAACGCACAGAAGTGCCAGGCACCATGCTAATCCCTAAGAATTCAGAGATACACTGTCCTCTGCTGGCACAAATTCCATTCTGCCCACTGCAACGTAAATTGGGGGCCCTCTGGCCCTTTGATACCACTTCAGGTGCACACTCTGTCTGAGAATATGAGAAGTTGGCAATGGACAGAACTACAGCTCTCAGCACAGACATATAGGCCAGCATGGACAAAGAAATGCTTACCTTTCTTCCCAGAATGTGCAGGTAGGCACACATCCAAGAGAGAAAAATAACAAAGGATGCTGCTTCCCGTCTGAGCACTGTGGGCCCTGACTCTTACTGGGCCTGGTTAGATACAGTCATTGGGCAGATCTTGAACCATCTTTCTGGCCTACTATGGGTGTTTAGTAATGGAAAGAGCTCACAGGTTCCTAAAAAGAGGAGAAAACTCTAGGAACTTAAGAATTTCTGAGTACCCCTATTTGTTTCCCTGTTTCTTTCTTCTAGTCCATGAAATTATAAGCTACAAGCCACAGGGAAGTAGGAAGGTAAATTTTAGACTCTAGTTATAGCCAGGACCTTCAAAGTTTACGGAGTTCTTCTCTCTGCTACCAGGACATAGTACATTTAAATGTTCAGAGTTCAAGTAATAACGCTATAGGTAGACTGTGAACTTCTTGTCCTAATCATACTTTCAATTCCCAACAGTCCTAAGAGTTCCCGTCTTCTAGAAAAATCATTTCCTTTAATATCCAAACAAAATAACTCAAGCTCTGGCCAGTGCAATTTTGGGAAGTTCAACAATTTCCCAGGCATTTTGAAGATGTCTGATGGAGTTATTGCCTTCCCCTGCTGGCTTCTTGTCATCTCTAATCCTAAACTTCAAATACCAGACCAATTCTAGGTCATCCTTGGTTTCTCATCACCAGTCCTACCAACTGCTGCCCTCTCTGCACTGTTTCCCCCATAACGTGGGCAGAAATCCCTCTTCCTTTATCTCTAACGCACCATTAATCACATGAAGGCTATTGGACGTAACAGACTTTAACTAAATGTTAACAGAGAGGTATCCTTAATTCTACAATTCTTCAGCTATCCCTTGAGAGAGAATTTATGACCAATCAACTCTCTCTTTGTCGCTAAGACCTATTCTATTTCTTCTTTTATTTATTTATTTATTTTTTTGAGGAAGATTAGCCCTGAACTAACTGCTGCAAATCCTCCTCTTTTTGCTGAGGAAGACTGGCCCTGAGCTAACATCCGTGCCCATCTCCCTCTACTTTATATGTGGGACACCTACCACAGCATGGCTTGCCAAGCACTGCCATGTCAGCACCCGGGATCTGAACCGGTGAACTCCGGGCCACTGAAGCACAACATGCGCACTTAACTGCTGTGCCACCAGGCCAGCCCCTATTTCTTCTTTTATTTGATTCTTTAAGGGCCCCCAAAACTCCTTTCTCTGGAGCCCAGAGAGCACAGATTTTCTTATTGTGCTAATCATTTTAGTTGCCTTTATTTTGGCATTCCTAATGCATTCTACAACCTGGGCCCTACTTTTCCCATCTAAACTGTCGGTGCATTTCCCTACACAAATATATTTTTCCCTTCTGCCCCTTCTTTTGCTTCCAGATTGTCAAAAGGACTGAAGTAAGATTTAAACAACAAATTTTAAAAATCTCTGCATTGCACTTGTATTCTTAAAGTTTAGATGTGCTGCACTAGGCATGTGATGTCCTTGGCATGTGGTGGCACTCAATTTTTAACAATAATAATATCTAATCCTTCTTTGAAGATAGTAATGAATCTCATATTTCACGAGTTGTTCCACTTTTTCATCTTGTGATCATTTTGAAGACTCCCATGAATTCCCTCTTGAACTCCAATTCTCAGTCCAACAGAAAAAACGTAAAGTCCACTTTGTGAGTGTTCTCATCAGCAAGCAAAGCGAGTCCCACACTCTGGCTGGCTTCTTAGTAACACCCAATGGTCACTTAACTCTGAGAGTCTTAGTTTCCTCTTTTGTAAAATGAGGAAGTTGGCCTACTTTATCGGTGGCTTCCTTCCAGCTTTATAACACCATGTATGCCTCCAAAAGATGATGGGGGAGGAGATATGGGGTTGGACCCAGGAAGTAGAGAAAGCCAGCTAATTTTATTTGTAGCTCCAACCATCTGCTGCCATTAACACTAACAAGCAGCTATTTCCTTTTTAGTGACTGAGTGATCTAAACTCTCCAGCTTAAGAAACAAGTGAGTACTAATCTTGGTTTAATCGCTAAGAGATCCTCACATTTCCCCTTTTCCTGAAATGACGCTATTAAGATCCACGTCTATCTCGTTTCACAAATAAAATGTTTCCACTAAAACGAAGTACAGGAATAATACAATTCAAGTTTGGGAAACTTCTTTTTTCTCCTTGATTTTAATTGAAACCATTTTCCTTTCCTTCTGTAATTGTTCCAAAACTACCCAAGAAGACCTAAATAGTTAGTAAATGGAGAGGCAGTTGTATGGAAAAATTAGAGGAAAAAATGCCAGATTACCGTCTGAGGTTAGTCAATTTTAGCTTGCTTCAAAATGTTAAAAAGAATTAAGTTGAAGCACCATCTAGTGGCTCTCAATTGGTGTTTTGCTAAAAGTTGTTCCTAACTTCCTTCAATTTAGGACCACAATTAATTTGTTGTGCACATATACACATGTGCATATGTGTGTTCAGAAAAGAAAAATGGTTTTTATCTTTATGCAGGGGTAGAAGGTTGGTAGGGAGTAGCTGTAGTTCTTCATTCTTCTAATCTGACATCACCCAGAAAATCATGGTGGTGAGAATGGAACAGAGAAGAAGCATGAATTCAGATGAATCTCCTCCAGGAATGACGAAGTCCTTTCAGTGGAAAAAGGGTTAACACAGTAAAGTCCCATAGATTTCAGTTCCTCTGTTTCTCCTGCTCACATCCTCTCAGGGAGTCCACAACAGTATCTTTACCTTCCTAATCTTATAATGCAGACATGCCTTCACATGTCTAGGGACTGGCTAACTATTAGGTGGTCTTTGCACATCCCCAGATTCTCAAGCCCTTTCCTATCACAAGCCCACAGCATCCCTTTAGTTTACATAACCAGCAATTCTTCCAGACCTGTCATAGAGATGGTTCTCACACCTATGATTACTATCTTCTGAAGTTCCATCTGTTTCATTATGTCTAGAGGAAGAAAGAAAATGCACACAAATAGACCATAACCCGTGTTACGAGATTGACAGCAAACCTTGAGATTGGCAAACTAGGTATTTGTATCAATCAGGATTAAATTCAACTGCATATGGAGTAAACCCCAAAATGACGGTGGCATAAACAAAATAGTTTATTCTTTCTCACACAAAAGAAGTTTATAGGTAAGTAGTCTAGAGTTTGTGTGGCAACTCCATTGTCATCAGGACACAGGCTCCATTCATCTTTCTTTTCCACCATCTTAGTGAGTAGCTTCCATCCTCAGTGTCACCTATGACCCAGGTCAGCAGCTGGACTTCCAATCATCACAACAACGTTGTAGTCTAGGGGATAAGGAGGAAATGCAAAAGAGGACCTCTCCTTTCTCTTTAAAGAGCTTTCCTAAAAATATCACATAAGATTGTGTTTACACCTCATTTGCAAAACTTTTGTGGGTGGTCATACTCAGCTGCAAGGGAAACTGAGAAATGTCTTTTAGCTAAGTATGTCCCCATACCAAATAAAATTGGAGTTATGTTATTGAGCAATGTGTCAGAGACCTAATTCACGATAATGCTAAGTAACAATTACAAAACCTCTGTGGCAACGATTGCTTAAATGTCTGAGATCCTCTGAGGGTTAGGTACACAGCTCTTCTGATCTTGATCGAGCTTCCTCACGTGCCTAGGAGATCGCTGACTATTGGGTTGTCTAGTCTGGCCGCAACAGCAGGGTTGGGGAGGAGACTGGGGTGACCCAGCTCTGCTCTCCGTGTTTCTCATCCTCCAGCAGACTAGCCAGGCGTGCTCTCATGGAGTAGCAGTAGAAACATGCAGGACCTCTTGAGATCTAGGCTCAAAACTGGTAGACTGCCACTTCTGCCTCATTTGACTGGATAAAGCAAATCACATGGGGTCAAGAAATACACACTCTCTTTATGGAAGGAACTCTAAAGTCACTGTCCAGTTACTTGGAGAGAAGGAGGGGCAAAGATCTGGAGTCATGAATATAATCATCTACCACAAGGAGAAAGAGGAAGATGAGCACTGGACCAGGCAGCTAGCAATCTGTGCCACCGTATTTTTGAGTCTGTGACAGAATTGTGGTACTAGACTTTTTTTCCACTCTATGCCCTGTTTTAAACATGAGGGGATTATAATAAAAAAGAAAGAGAGAAAAGAGCTAATATAAGTTACATATGACATTATTTGCTAATTTATTTCTTGACTCATGTTCAATTACTAATGGAGTAAGTATTAATCTTAGCATTTTTCCTCCACCTTTACTAGGGGAAGACTGGCTATATGTACCCAAAACCTGACTCTCCTTCTTCCAAGGCTGCACTACATTTTCCAACTTTCACAGAAGTTAGTGCGGCCCTGTAACAAGTACCAGTTAATAGAATGCGAGCAGAAGTGATTACTACTGCAGGCCTAGTTCATAAAAACCTCCCACATAAAATTCTTCATTTTCTTTCTGTCTTTCCCATTCACCAGCCGAATGGAGAATACTCTGAGAAGGGCAGGGCCATAAGATAAAATGCTTGCTTGGAGCAGAACCACTCCCGCCCCCTGCCCTAGCCCTACCAACCTGCATTGGAATGTGAAGTGCACAAGAATTAAACTTTTGTGGTATGAATACACTGAGATTTGGGGGTTGTTTGTTTTAATGATTAGACTATTCTACTTATTTAGTATCCTCTAGACAGTATGCATTAATTTTCTCCCTTAGAGTTTTGCTAAAAATAAAAGTAACAGCCCGAATCACCTGCCACTTTACACAAAAACTTTTTTCTTTTAATAAAAGGACATGTTTTACTATAGGATTACCATATGTACCAGTGAAGATAGGGTTCCTGTTTACAGTGGGCCTAGAGGATGTTAGGGTTTCACCAAGCACTCTTACTCTTACCACCGTTAATCCATTCCAACTTGGAGTGCAGACAAGAAAGAGAACTGAGAAAGGGAATTGAGACACTGGAGCTCTAAAAGATGAGGTGACATTCAGCACCGTCTCCAATGACTCTAACAGCTCCTTATTTGGGGATCAACTTATAATTTCTTCAAAAATGCAGGTACTACTGAAAATTATTGCTGGCCATTCATTCAATGACCAATCCAGAAATGCAATACAACTGCCCCACTAATTGCTAGCGAGCAAGAAAGGCAATGGAAGGTCAGCAACTAGCTGACTTGAAGGCAGTGTTTGTAGTGGCTCTTGCCATTGCAACATTGATTAGCATCTCAAGTAGGCAGAGAAAACAAGAAGTTAGGATGAAAGCACCATCCAAAGGACACGAGAAATGTGGGGAAACTGCACAGCATTGTTATTTGCCTTTTGCTGAGCCATCTTCCTCTTTAGGCTGAGAAGCAGGGCTGTTACTCTTTTGCAGATAAGAACTCACTAGGGCAAAGGGGAAAGTGATGAGTCATCCCAGGCATTTGGTGAAGGCAGGCAGCAAGCTTTTGCATGTGTATATATGTATGCTAAGAGTTTGAAATGGGCATTGCCAACTATCACATCAATCCTTATAAACACAAAGGTATCAAAGAGTAACAGGAGCCATTGAAGTAGGTGTTGAACATGAAGGCTGATTTCAACTGGCTGCTTTTTCTGATATCTCATCAAGTCTAAATTGACTTCCAGATTTTTTTATTTTCGTGCTCTAGAAAAAAAACATAAAATATATAATTAAGCAGGAATTAATACAAGCCTTCAGCAGCAGAGAAACCGAGAAGTGAATATTTAGGAAGCCCCAGCTAAACCTCATTTCCCCCACGGAATTCTCCAAGGGTGGTCTAAGATGGGTGTCTCCCAGGGAAAAACTACAGTGAGGCAGAAGCCCTTGCTGCAGGCGCCTCTGCCTGGGCTCTCAGTTGTTAACAAAGCCTTTATGTCAAACGAGGAGCTTGGAAACAAGCACAATGCACCCAAAAATGTGTCAAGCTTTTCCCAGGACATCATAAACTCAAAGTCTTATGATGATGGTTTCTTTCTAATGAGTCCTATATTTTTCAGTCTTCAGTGCCTACCTGCAACCATTAATCCTCTGGAAGTAGATGAATGCCACAATGACCAGGATAACCAAGAAAAGAGCAAATTTCACATAGAGAATAACCAGTAAGGACGATGCTGGAAATCCTCGGATTATGAGACCTTTAAACACAGGCAACACAGGCAGGGGTAAAGAGCCATTCCGAGGATTTTTCTAATTAACAAATTAGAGTCAGTAGTTTCAAAGAGACTTTTAAAATATTCCTAAATTTTCATACTCTATCATAATCAAAACACGTTCTAGTTTACAATTCTAATGTTGTTAATGTAGCCTTCTTTCATGACAGAGTTTAGGAACCATGTCTGTGTTTTGTACATGGTAGGTTTCTAGTGAATATTTTCTGAATGAATAAATGTGCAGTAAGCAATGCTAATACTTCCCAATTTTATAAGAAAAAAAGAAATGTACTTTCTAACTTCCTGCGTAAATGTTAGTCTTTGGGAGCATTATTATTCTTAGTATTTTGAGCACTATCTGATAATACTTTCCACACAGTGAAGTGGTTTTGTCACTGAGTTGCTGTAAACCCTCTAGAAGGGTATTTTATGTCTTCCTGCTTTTATATATTCATCTGTGAAATGGTCCCAAGAATTGTTGAAAAGATAAAATGGGACTAATTAGGACCATCATTCTGAAGTCTTTTCTCCCATGAAAACGGTAACCAAAGAGCACGTGGACTGTAAGTACAAGCCTGACTCCCGGTTCCAAGAAGTCATGTCATTCCATTAAATAACACGCTCAAATACTAAACTAGAATGTCAGGCCATCTCCCAGGCACCATAAGGGAAGAAGAAGAAGACACAGTCAGAGCCCTCAAACAGCTCACAATCCAACTGGAGAAGTCAGACCCATGTAAATGAAAAGGTAATTTGCAAGAGAGCAAATAGTGCTAAGGGAGCGTTACAAATGATAAACCATCTAAGGAGTAAGAAAGCTTAATCAACTCTAACTGGGAGGTCAGGGTGAAGTGGGATGTGACTGAGCCTTGCCCATAGCAGGATTAAATATGTTAAGAGAAGAAGAAAGGACTTTTCAAGGGAAAGAAACAACTTAGGCCAAGGTTTGAAGATGAGTTAAGTAGTATTTGAAACATAAAGTGGGAATATAGAGATGAAGTCTATGATGAACTGAACCTAATTCTGCAGTTATTTGTACGTGTCAGGCACTGTGCCAGACCCTGGGGATATGGAATGAAAGGTGTGGTTCCTACTGTCAAGAGCTTACACTGTACTGGGAATCTGAGAAGCGGTGGTCAATTACAGGGCTATGGAAGAACCCTGACAGAGGCACACATGAGGCATCACGTGAGCGCAGAGTAGAACAGCTAATCAAACTGCAGGGCGAGGGAAAACTATCCCAGAGGAACAATATCAAACTAAGTCTTAAAACGTCGTTAGGAATTGAGCAAAGGGATTGGAATAAGAGTATGGAGAGAGATGTGCATTGTGGAGAGGTAGAAATTGCAAGTAGAAGAGAACAGAGGAATAAAAGAGCATAACACAATTGAGGAGCCCAAATGCCCATATGCGTGGGGTGCAGGCAAGAGAACAGCAGACATGAGGCCAAGGAGAGCAGCAGGTGGAGGTTGTCAAAGGGCTTTAGCTTTCCATGAGGCGAAAAGGAGCCACTGGGGGCATTTAAGTAGGGGAGTGCCATAGTTTTCATTTTAGAAAAATCACTCTGGCAACAGTGTGGGGGATAAATTGAAGGGAGGTAAGTTAGGGGCCAGAAGAGCTGTTACAGGGACATTGCAATAATCCTGGTGAAAGATAATTATGGGCTCAAGGAAGGCAGTGGGAATAAGAGAAAGGTCCATATTTTTAAAAGACCATTAAGGTAAAATCAACAAAACAGAGTGACTGGTTTTGAATATGGAGAATAAAAAGAAGGATGTTGTAGGATATCTTTAGGTTTCTTGCTTGAGTCATTTATCAAGATATAAAATATAGATGTGGAGCTTATGAAGGGATAAAGGAAAGCAATTCTATTTTAGGAATATGCAAGCTGAGGTGCCTTTGATGCATCCAAGTGAAGCTGTGCAATTGGAAGGTGGTTTTGATCATGGTGTAGCCAAGGAGAGAAATCTGGGGTTAAAAACACACTTTTGCAAGTCAAGAATTAGACAGTGGTTGAAGCCATAGGTATGGATGAGATTGCTCAAAGAACAGGGGTAAAGGTGAGACGAATAGAGCACCACCAACAACGGAACCCATCAAAATGCCCTCGTTCATGGGATGAATAGGTGAAAAGGGATCTATTTAAGGAGACTAAGACGTTGACTGAAAGTTAAGAAGAGAACCAAGTGAAAATGGGAGGAAAACAGATGAGAAGGGAGGAGAGATCATATCAAATATCACAAAGAAGCTAATTAATAACAAGAAATGAAAACTTCGTATATTATTTGGCATCTGGGAGATATTTAGTGCTTTTTGTCAGAGAATTTTTTGTGCAGATAAATGCAAGTAAGCTAAGGAGTAGATATGAGGTAACAGAAGATAAGCATAAATTCCTCTTTTAAAAATCTTGGATATGAGTAGAAGGCAAGAACTAAGAGTGTGAGGAAGTCATAGCATCTAGCTGTAAACATGGGAGAAGAAAGTCATGTTTATATAATCAGTTTTAGGGAAAGGATTTGTGGAACAGGAAAGATTGAACAGAAGAGAGCAAGGATAATTAATGAAACAAAGCCTCTGAGGACGTGGAAGGGGAAAAATGTATAGAGTGTAGGTTGACCATTTGGTCGACAGAGGGAAAGTCAGATAGGACTGGAGATAAATGCACAGGTCTAGAGACAAGAAGTATAAAATAAGGGCCTAGAGCTAGCAGCAGATTGACAATGGAAAATAAAGAATAGATGCGAATGTACTGATACATGCTACACACGGATGATCCTTAAAGACATTATGCTAAGTGAAAGAAGTCACAAAAGGCCACATATTATATGGTTCCATTTATATGAAATATCCAAACTAGGAAAATCTATAGAGACATAAAGTAGATTAGTGGTTACTTAAAGCTGGAGGAATAGTGAGATTAAGGAGTGATAGCCAAAAGGTACAGGTTTTCTTTTCGGAGTGATGAATATATTCTAAAATTGATTGTGGTGATGTTTGTGCAACTCTGTGAATACAGTCATGCGCCACATAATAATGTGTCAGTAAACATCGGACCACATATATGACACTGGTTGCATAAGATTAGTACCGTATAGCCCAGGTGTGTAGTAGATTACACCACCCAGGTTTGTGTAAGTACACTATGGTGTTCGCACAATGATGAAACCACCTAAAGACACATTTCTCAGAACACATCCCTGTTGTTAAGTGGCACACGACTGTAGACCAAAAAGCATTGAATTGTACACTCTAAATGGGTGAATTTATGGTATATAAATTAGATCTCAATAAAGCTATTACCAAAAAAAAAAAAGAATAAATGTGAGAGACATTAAGAGGAATAATTAGTAAGATATGATGATTTTTAGTAATGATTATAATAAGAACAATAGCCAATGTATATTATAATAAATATAATAGCCAACATTTGATAGCTAATATTTGCTAATATAATAAATACAATGGCTAATATTTATTGAGTATCAACTATGTGTTAGGCACTCTTTTAATTATGTATATTACTTTATTTATTTAACACAATAATCCTATGAGGCAGTTGCTGTGATCCTTATCTAACAGATGAAGAGACCACAGGACAGAGAAATTAAATACTGTTCAAGGTCACACAGCTGGCAAATGAGAAGACACGTTATGCCAAAGTCTTCTCCCATAATCACCGGATTATACTCCCTACAACAATATGAAAACGTGGACCTTGTCTTTTCATCTTTGTATCCCCAGCCTCAAACATATAACAACATTCAATAAATATCTGGTGAATGAATTGATGGATTGGTTACAGATGACAAGAGAGGGGGGAAAGAAAACATCTCTTACTCAGGGTAACAAAGTGGTGATAGAAAAATCAGGGAGAGAATAACTACTGTTTTTTGGCTACCTACTGAGTAAGTATTGTTACATTATATAAAAGTATTGACATTTTATATTAACAATTAATCTCAAAGTAAAAGCCTATAGATCACTAAGTTAGCAAATAATATTTTTTATGGCTACTGGAATAAAGATATCTAGAGAATGTGCTGGTAAGAAGTTATTAAATGAATTCCTTCTACTTGATAAAGGAATAGCAACAATTTCTCTAGCACACTAATGCATTACCTGGTTAAGTTTTAGAGAATATCTTCAAGTTAGGAGCACAGGCTTTCTCACCTGGTGCCTGGTAATTCATAATCTTCTATGGAGGGAAAGGCTGAGCACCAAGTTCACTACTCTAAAATAAGCAGATGCTTACCGAGACTCAGCTCTAAAGACAGGCTCTTGTTGCCGGTCACATGTGAGACAGAGCAGGACACAGACAAAGGGTGGTCCTCCCAGCGGCATGTACTCTGGACGGTCACTGTGCCATTGGCCCAATGTTCTTGCTCGGTGACACAGTCTCCCTCTGGGGTCCAGGAGATCTGTGCAGCCGGCTTCCCTGCAGCTGCCCTGCACACCGTGGTTCCATTCTTGCTTTGAAGCAGGGTCACCTCGGGGGGCACTGCAGAGACCAGGGAGAAATGCTTCAGTCTTAACATGTGGGATAAGGAATTTAGAGGGACCTTTGTTTCAGTGCCAAATCTAGCTATCTGAAATACCGCAATGTGTGATGTTCCTTACCTAACACTTGGAGGTGATATCCACGATGGAAATTCCCATCAGGTGTTACCATTTGACACATGTAAAACCCGTCATGAGTGGTGGCCACTGGATCAATCTGAAGGGCGAGGTTCTCATCAGGTCTGGAGGCCCAGGTTATTCTCTCGTCGGTACGGTTTCCTTCCTTGGTCTCATTTCTATCTCTCCTGTACGCTCTGGTGCAGGACAGCTTGCCTCTGAGGATTATTTGCCACGCTGTTACCACCATAGAGGTCAACAGGATGGAAGGGCAATCGAACACAACCTTCGTATCCACAGGTACGGACAGAGAAGCGTTGGCTGGATACACACACACACAAGGAGAATAACAAAAGAAAACCTGATAAAGAACTTCCTGTGTTAAATTTGTCCACAGCATATTACATGAAGTTGTACTAGAACATTGCTTTGCTGGAGAACTTATTCCAGAAATGTTAAACTTATAAGAAATTAACATTCATGAAATATATATAACATTAAATTCATCCAAAGATTAACCAATTTTGTACTGTATTATGTATCATTAAGAAAACACATGTATTATATGTCTGACAAATTTTTTTAAGTTTTTTGAAATTAATTCAGGATATTTGATACCTATAAAACAGAGAAGAAAACAGAATCTAAATTAAAAGACAAAGACAATGTTCTAAATATAATCTTTTGGTCATAGAGACCATTAGATTTATCATAGAATCCATGCTCCTCATGAAAGAGAATGGAACAATTAGTGATGTGATTTTCTCCTCCTAAGTTTTGATGAAAGCAAAAAAACCCAGTAACGTCAGAACTAAATACCTATCCCGAACGGTGACACATCAGACAAACATAAATGTAGAAAGTATATGGTACGTTCACTAAAAGTAACTAAGATGGCATCAGGTTGAGCAAGCTGGAGATGTTTCTGTTTAATTTTTATTCAAAGAATCATAAACTCAGTGAAATCAACAGATTTTTAGATAATCTGTAATTTTATCTATTGGTCCCTCCCACAAAAATGAAAAATGATGATGCTTCGTGGAAAGAGATTAGAAGTATTTATCTTAGAAGTATTTATCTTAGAAGTATTTATTTCTAGTGAAAATGTAGTATAGTATATAAATACAATACAAAGAAAAGACTTGTTTTCCTCTGTACATTTTCTGCAAAAAGGAACTGATTGCAAATGGGTAATAATATCAAACGTGGCCTTTGAACGACTTTCCCTTCCTTCCTATTCCATCACATATACAATCCCAGACAGTTCAGCTGTGAAGTTTGCTCACAGATTTTGGTTCCGTGCATTCAATACAATTATCAGGATTAAACATAAAATTGACCTATTTTTCGATACTTTAAAGTAAAAATTAAGACTTGCGAGCATATTTCAACATAGAAACTCACGCTTTCCCATAACCTGACACGTGTTCATGACCATTGGGGTTTGCTCAGAAGTGACCAGGTGTAGCTATTACAACTCACCTGTAACAGAGGTGAGTGTCAGTGACTTCATTTCTTTAAAATGAGCAGAACCAGCTGGGGAGGGCAAAATTTTTATGTGGATGAAGCTTATTTTTTCTAAACTCTGCATTTAATATCTCTCATATCCTCTTTTAGCGTCACCTGCCTCTTCTGTGATGTACTCAAGCTTTTGCATTTCACAGTCACACGAAGATCATATAACTAGATAAGGGAAGAGGGAGGATCTTAAAGCAGATCTGAGACGGCAGTTCAACTCATGCTCTTTCCACCACTCCAGGTGGCACCCCCTTGCAGAAGGAACCTACAACTTAGCGAAGGCTTACAGGCAAGCCAGAACATGGCTTGTTGGAGAACAACTGGAGGCGGGTGTGGGTAAGCATATCTGTGCACAAGGGAAAGAAGCTGACGATAAAACCAGGAAGGTAAGAGACTAGTGTCATAACATGTTGTGAAGGCTCTTCTACTTTTGGTATTGTGAACTTTAGCTTGTAAGCAGTGGAAGGCTTGAATGTTTTTGCCTTATTTATCCTTAAGATCTGCCTCTAATTTTTTAAAGGAAAGTACTAGCTAATCAAATGAACATATGCATTTTAACAGGGGCACAGTATCCAAAGAAGTAACTCAGGTGGTGAGGGTTCCGAGCACAGTGGACATTCTTTCACCTTCCTCTGCTCTACGACCTTCAGTCAATCACCCTTCACCTACAATGATAGTTCTTATGTCACTGCTACGATTTCACCCTTTCTTCATCCTCTTCTTTCTTTTTTCATACCTGTTGTGATAATTTACCAATAGCCAGTCAACCCCCACACTCAGTGTGTTTGGCACCTAACAAATAGATTCTCCATACCCTCCCGCAATCCGCAGGACGATTCACCTCCTACTTCACAGAGAAGACAGAGGGCAGATTCTCATATTTGCTCCAGAACCAGCAGTCATATCCCATCGTTTCTGCATGCTTTGTCTATAAATATCTTCCAGTCTTATCCAGCCTTATGCACACAGAGAAATTCTAGTTGGCTTTTGGGCATTTCCTTTCTTTTCTCATTACAATACCATAGTTTCACTCCCCATCACCACAGCTAGATTTCTGCAAAGGCCTCCTAACTTCTCTCTGTCTCTAACTCTCCTCTCTTCAGGCCCTACCTTAAATTGCTGCCGGGTACATCATTCTGTAACACAGATGTGATTCACTCAACACTAAGAGCATTCTCTTCAGAGATCCCTTCAGAGATCTCTCACTGTCTGAAGAAAATGGTTAAGTGTCTTTATATTGGCTTTGTAAGTCCTCTTTTTCAAATTGACTCGGCTTTGAAATCTTATCACCCTTACACTGCCCCTACACTCTAGAAAGGAAAAACCAAGCATATTTGCATTTCTTTGTCTTTCTTCACATTTTTTCCCATGGTCTAGGATGCCCTACATGAGGCTCTTTTTCTGTTAAAATACTCCTCTTCCTTTAAGACTCGGTTTACATGCTGCATCCTCTGTGAAGCCTTCTCTGAGCCTTGGTGCTTAAGTGCTCCCTCCTCTACATTCCCTGGTCCACTTGATGTGAATGCTTGTCTCCTCTGCCATATATGACAGCTGTGCTCATGTCTGGATTCCTCCATAAAACTAAGCTCCCTGAGGGTTCTCTGACAGTCCTGCTCATCTTGCTTATCTTTGCATCCTCCATAAACCCTAGCACAGAGCCGGAGAGAGAAATCTCTACAATCTCCAAATATAGTTGAACTGTTTTGGGGGAGGAGGGGCGGGGTCATTCGGGGTCCCTCACACCACTGCACTCACATCACCATATTCTTCAAGTGGCCACAAGGCTGGCCCTCAGACCAGACCATCAGCTATGTCTCCAAGGAGGTTCAACATTCCATCCCTTCAGTACTGACCTCTAGGACGAAAAAGCATCTTACCTTCTACAGGAAGTTCTAATTTTCTCTGCCTCTTGTCCGTAGAGGAACCATTTACTGAAGCTAGAAAATATTCAAAGAAAAGTAAATGAAATCAATTTTAGGTACTTACATGGAGTAGAAGTCACTATTTCTTTACAAATTCTTATATACAATATGATAGAAAGCAGTTAATCACAACTAAATTAAACAGAAAGCCTCGCAAAACAGAAATCAGAAGTTATTCCATATTAAATGGAAAAACATGTTAACATTTGACAATTACATTTATAAGCTATTAATCAATGATTTCCCATTTATGAGACACGTGGTTTTGTACTTGACAACAATTTTGTACCAGGTAACCCTGCCTGCACCGCTTCTCTAGCCACAGTGGATTGTCCATCATGGGCATCTCACCTGAGCTGGGCTGATTACAATCCTTTCTCCAGATGCCACCCCTGATTAAAGTTATTTGGTCCAGTGGTAGGCACCTCACCCAGCTGGACAAATCAGTACTTTCTCAAGAGTTTTGGAACCAGAACTGAGAAGAGTGGTTCATCCTTCTTACTTCCCCAATTTTCCTAATGTGATGGTTAATTTTATATGTCAACTTGGCTATGCTGCAGAGCCTAGATAAATAGTGAAACATTATTCTAGATATTTCTGTGAAGGTATTTTTTAGATGCCATTAACATTTAAATCAGTAGACTTTGAATAAAGCAAACTGACTCCATAATGTGAGTGGGCCTCATCCAGTCAGTTGAAGACCTTAAGAGAAAAAGATTGACCTCCTGGGAAAGGGAATTCTGCCAGTAGACTGACTCTGGTTCAAACACAACTCTTCCCTGGGTCTCCAGCCTGCTGGCCTACCCTGCAGGTTTTGGACTTGTCAAGTCTCCACAGTTGTGTGAGCCCATTCTTCAAAATAAATATTTCTCTCTGTCTGTCTCTCTCTCTTTTTCTATAGATAGGTAGCTAGGTTGGTAGGTAGGTTGGTAGATAGATAGATAGATAGATAGATAGATAGATAGATAGATAGACAGATAGATAGATAGATAGATAGATAGATAGATAGATAGATAGATAGACAGACAGACAGACAGATGTTGTTCTTTTTCTCTGAGGAACCCCGACTAATAATACACCTACCTTGGGAAGAATGAGGCAGAAGCAGAGAGAGAGAGACGACAGTCTTCATCTAGCTCAAGTTTCCAATTCCATAGTTCCTGAGACCCACATGCACTCCTTCCTTTGGGTTCTATAGAATTTCTGACAATCAAAACAGTCCTAATCTACTTCAAATTTGGTTTCTGAAAACTTCTGTTTTGTAGTATCATTTTTTACAAACAACAAATTTTTTAAAAATATGATTTATCTTGTGGAATGTTCTGTGTGTCCTTCAGAAGAATGCATATTCTGCTGCTGTTAGATGTAATGTGCTGTATATGTCTGTTAGGCCATTTGGTCTATAGTGTTGTTCAAGTCCACTGTTTCCTTATTGATTTTATATCTGGAGGATCTATCCACTTTTGAATGTGGAGAATTAAAGTTTCCTACAATTACATTGCTACCTATTTCTCCCTTCAGTTCTGTTAATATTTGCTTTATGTATTTAGGTGCTCCAATTTTGGATGCATAAATATTTACAAGTGTTATATCCTCTTAATGAATTGACTCCTTTATCATTATATAATGACATTCTTTGTCTCTCACTCGAGTTTTTGACTTAAAGTCTACTTTATCTGATACAAGTATAGCCATCCCTGCTTTCTTTTGGTTTTCATTTGAATGGAATATCTTTTTCCATCTCTTCACTTTCAGCCTATGTGTATCCTTAAAGCTAAAGTCAGTCTTTTGTAGGCAACATATTGTTGAATCTTGTTTTTTTAAATCCATTAAGCTATTATATGCCTTTTGATTGGAGAATTTAGTCCATTTAGTGAATTTATCAGGTAAGGACTCACTATTGTCATTTTGTTATTTGTTTTCTGACCATTTTGATGCTCCTCTGTTCCTTTCTTACTCTCTTGCTGCCTTCCTTTATGATTTGATGATTTTTTTGTAGTGGTATGCTTTGATTCTTTTCTCTATATCTTTTTTTTTTTTTTTTTTGGTGAGGACAATTGGCCCTGAGCTAACATCTGTGCCAATCTTCCTCTATTTTGTATGTGGGATGCCACCACAACATAGCTTGATGAGTGATGTGTAGGCTCATGCTGGGATCCAAACCAGTGAACCCCAGACTGCCAAAGCAGAGCACATGAATTTAACTACTATGCCACCAGGACAGTCCCTCTTTTCTTTATATCTTCTGTGTATCTACCAGAAGATTTTTCTTTATGGTTACTATGAGGCTTATATAAAACATCTTATAGTTATAATGGTTGATTTTAAGCTGATTACAACTTAACTTCAATCGCATACAAATACTCTACACTTTTACTTCTCCCCCAACACACATTTTATTTTATTGATGTCACAGTTTACATATTTTAAATTTCTGTATTCATTAACAGGTTATTGTAGTGATAGTTATTTTTAATATTTTTGCCTTTTAACATTTGTACTAGAGTTAATGGTGTAATGCACCACCATTAGAGTATTAGAGTATTCTGAATTGAATTATATACTTACCTTTACCAGTGTGTTTTATATTTTTGTATGTCTTCATGTTGCTGGCTAGCATCCCTTCATTTCAATTCAAAGAACTCTCTTTAGAATTTCTTATAGGTGGGGCTGGTGGTGATAAACTCCTTTGGCTTTTGTTTTTTCTGAGAGTCTTTCTCCTTCATTTCCTAGGGATAGATTTGCTGGGTAAAGTATTCTTGCTTGATAGATTTTTTTTCTTTCAGCACTTTGAATTTATCATCCTGCTCTCCTGGCCTGCAAGGTTTCTGCTGAGAAATATGCTAGTCTTATGGGATTCCCTTATATGTGACCAATCACTTTTCTCTTGCTGCTTTCAAAATTCTCTCTTTGTCATTTGATTATGTCTCAGTGAAGACTTCTTTATGGTCAACCTATTTGGAGTTCTTTGGGCTTCATGGATCTGGATGTTCATTTCCCTCCCTAGATTTGGAAAGTTGTCTCTCATTATTACTTTAAATAATTTTTCTGCTCCTTTCTCTTCCATGCTCCTCTGGGACTCCCATAATGCATACATTGCTTTTTTAGTTGGTGTCCCATAAGATCCATAGATTTTCTTCACTCTTTTTCATTCTTTTTCTTTTTGTTTCTCTGTCTGGATAATTTCAAATGATATGTCTTTGAGTTCACTAATTCTTCCTTCTGCTTGACGAATATGCTGTTGAAATTGTCTATTGCATTTTTCAGCTCAATCATTGTATTAGCGCCAGAATATTTTTGGTTCTTTTTTATGGTTTCTCTTTTTTGAACTCTCATTTTGTTCATGTAGTGTTTTTCAGATTTTGTTTAATTGTCCTTCTATGTTTTCTTGTAGTTCACTGAGCTTATTTAAGATAATTATTTTGAATTCTTTGTCAGGCAATATGCAGAACTCCATTTCTTTTGAGGTCAGCCATTAGAGCTTAATGTTTTTTTCTTTAGTGGTGTCACCTTTTCTTGATGTTTTTGTGTTCCTTGAAGCCTTACCTTGCTGTCTTAACATCTGAAGAAAGAGTCACTTCTAAGAGTCTTTACTGACCGGCTTCTGGAAAGAAAGGCCCCAGTCAGTTCAGGTACATATTCTGGGAGATTTCTCAGACCTTTCTTCTCCACTCCTCTTACTATCTTTTGGGGAGGAAGTCTTAGGATTGTGTGTCTTCTCTCAATCCTTCAAAGTCAGACAGAACACTGAGAACCTCTCATTTATTTACCCCAGGGCAGTGCCCTGAAATATTCAAGGTTGTACACCTTCTCCCAGTCCAGCAGAGTCCAATAGCTGCTGATATCCATGCACACCACTGTAGGGGTGCATGTTGTCTGTGGGAAAGTTGGTGCCAGCCACAGAGGGGACACATGGAATGCTGGGGAAGCACATCAGCTAGTCAATTGGGTCTACAAGTGAAGAAGCCCACAGGGTTTTTTGGTAGGGCTTGTGGTGGAGTCCACAAGCCAGCCAGTAGAAGCTGTGGCCAGTTGTTGAGTTCCAGGCTCTGGCTGCCATGATCCCCCCACCTCTTTTGCCTGCTCCTAGCTGCCCCCAGACAGTTCAGCTGTCTTGATCCCTTCAGTGTTCTTCATGGGGCAAGACAGAAGTGTGCCTCTTGGGAGGCATCCTGCAAGGCTAGGGAAGCTGGGTGCTCACCCTCAAGTGAGAAATCACAGGCTGAGGGAATTTCTCTTGGCACTGAGCTGTACTGCTTTAGGGAGAAGAGTGATGTGGGTACAGTGAAAATGTTTGTAATATCTTCAGTATGTCTATTCTTGATCTTTTGCTTGACTGTGGTGCTACAACCTCTCAGCTGGACTCCTGGGATTCCATAAAGTATTTTCATCCACATGTGGTTGTTAAAATAATTGGTGTTTCTGTGGAGGTTTGAGGGCTTGAATCTCCTATTCTGCCATCCAAGGGACATAATTTTTACCAACATTTCTATTATACAATCAATGGAAACATAAGCACAGTAAGAAAGGAAAATAACAGCATTGTAATATTATTATTATAAAAATCATTTTTTACCTTTGAACTCACTGAAAGAGTCTTGATTACTTCCAGGCATCTGAGAACCACACTTTGAGAATCACTGCAATAGTCACTCCCCTAGTCCTTTCCTAAAGGACCTATGATCATGTACTTTGGTAACCATTCACTGGGGAAAAGGAATTATCAAGATCATTTGAAGGTTGTTTGAATACAGATTTGAATTGATTTCGATATGTAAGGACACAATGCACTATCATAGGCCTCCTGTTAGAGTAGGAGCATATAGAGTAATGAAATAAATCTTGTGTCTGGTTCATGTCACAGTGGACTCTCTAAATTTACAGCCCAGCTGGTGTGATTTTCCCAATTGCTAAATGTTTAATTAGAATAGATATATATAGCAGTTGGCAGACCCTCTTGTTGAGTCTCTGATCTGTAAATTAAGAGCTATTTAGTAGGAAAGACCAAGTGAAAC